GGCGAACCTTAATCCGGGGGTGAACCTTAATCCGCGGGTGAACCTTCATCCGGGGGCGAACCTTCATCCGGGGGTGAACCTTTATTCGGGGGCGAACCTTCATCCGGGGGCGAACCTTCATCCGGGGGCGAACCTTCATCCGGGGGCGAACCTTCATCCGGGGGTGAACCTTCATCCGGGGGTGAACCTTCATCCGGGGGTGAACCTTCTTCCAGGGGCGAACCTTCATCCGGGGGCGAATCCGGAGGTGAACCTTAATCCGGGGGCGAACCTTCATCCAGGGGCGAACCTTCATCCGAGGGCGAACCTTAATCCGGGGGTGAACCTTAATCCGGGGGTGAACCTTAATCCGGGGATGAACCCTAATCCGGGGGTGAACCCTAATCCGGGGGCGAACCTTCATCCGGGGGCGAACCTTCATCCGGGGGCGAACCTTCATCCGGGGGCGAACCTTCATCCGGGGGTGAACCTTCATCCGGGGCCGAACCTTAATCCGGGGGCGAACCTTAATCCGGGGGCGAACCTTAAGCCGCGGGTGAACCTTAATCCGGGGGTGAACCTTAATCCGGGGGTGAACCTTAATCCGGGGGTGAACCTTAACCCGGGGGTGAACCTTAATCCGGGGTGGAACCTTAATCCGGGGTGGAACCTTCATCCGGGGGCGAACCTTCATCCGGGGGCGAACCTTCATCCGGGGGCGAACCTTGATCCGGGGGCGAACCTTAATCCGGGGGCGAACCTTTAATCCGGGGGTGAACCTTAATCCGGGGGTGAATTTCATCCGGGGTGAACCTTCATCCGGGGGTGAACCTTCATCCGGGGGCGAACCTTCATCCGGGGGCGAACCTTCATCCGGGGGCGAACCTTCATCTGGGGGCGAACCTTCGTCCGGGGGCGAACCTTCATCCGGGGGCGAACCTTCATCCGGGGGCGAACCTTCATCCGGGGGCGAACCTTCATCCCGGGGCGAACCTTCATCCGGGGGCGAACCTTCATCCGGGGGTGAACCTTCATCCGGGGGTGAACCTTCATCCGAGGGCGAACCTTCATCCGGGGGCGAACCTTCATCCGGGGGCGAACCTTCATCCGGGGGTGAACCTTCATCCGGGGGTGAACCTTCATCCGGGGGTGAACCTTCTTCCGGGGGCGAACCTTCATCCGGGGGCGAACCTTCATCCGGGGGCGAATCTGGGGGTGAACCTTAATCCGGGGGCGAACCTTCATCCGGGGGCGAACCTTCATCCGAGGGCGAACCTTAATCCGGGGGTGAACCTTAATCCGGGGGTGAACCTTAATCCGGGGATGAACCCTAATCCGGGGGTGAACCCTAATCCGGGGACGAACCTTCATCCGCGGGCGAACCTTCATCCGGGGGCGAACCTTCATCCGGGGGCGAACCTTCATCCGGGGACGAACCTTCATCCGGGGGCGAACCTTCATCCGGGGGCGAACCTTAATCCGGGGGCGAACCTTAATCCGGGGGCGAACCTTAATCCGCGGGTGAACCTTAATCCGGGGGTGAACCTTAATCCGGGGGTGAACCTTAATCCGGGGGTGAACCTTAACCCGGGGGTGAACCTTAATCCGGGGTGGAACCTTAATCCGGGGTGGAACCTTCATCCGGGGGCGAACCTTCATCCGGGGGCGAACCTTCATCCAGGGGCGAACCTTCATCCGGGGGCGAACCTTAATCCGGGGGCGAACCTTTAATTCGGGGGTGAACCTTAATCCGGGGGTGAACCTTAATCCGGGGGTGAACCTTAATCCGGGGGTGAGCCTTAATCCGGGGGTGAACCTTCATCCGGGGGTGAACCTTCATCCGGGGGTGAACCTTCATCCGGGGGGGAACCTTCATCCGGGGGTGAACCTTCATCCGGGGGCGAACCTTCATCCGGGGGCGAACCTTCATCCGGGGGCGAACCTTCATCCGGGGGCGAACCTTCATCCGGGGGTGAACCTTCATCCGGGGGTGAAACTTCATCCGGGGGTGAACCTCATTCCGGGGGCGAACCTTCATCCGGGGGAGAACCTTCATCCGGGGGCGAATCCGGGGGTGAACCTTAATCCAGGGGCGAACCTTCATCCGAGGGCGAACCTTCATCCGGGGGCGAACCTTCATCCCGGGGCGAACCTTCATCCGGGGGCGAACCTTCATCCGGGGGTGAACCTTCATCCGGGGGTGAACCTTCATCCGAGGGCGAACCTTCATCCGGGGGCGAACCTTCATCCGGGGGCGAACCTTCATCCGGGGGTGAACCTTCATCCGGGGGTGAACCTTCATCCGGGGGTGAACCTTCTTCCGGGGGCGAACCTTCATCCGGGGGCGAACCTTCATCCGGGGGCGAATCTGGGGGTGAACCTTAATCCGGGGGCGAACCTTCATCCGGGGGCGAACCTTCATCCGAGGGCGAACCTTAATCCGGGGGTGAACCTTAATCCGGGGGTGAACCTTAATCCGGGGATGAACCCTAATCCGGGGGTGAACCCTAATCCGGGGACGAACCTTCATCCGCGGGCGAACCTTCATCCGGGGGCGAACCTTCATCCGGGGGCGAACCTTCATCCGGGGACGAACCTTCATCCGGGGGCGAACCTTCATCCGGGGGCGAACCTTAATCCGGGGGCGAACCTTAATCCGGGGGCGAACCTTAATCCGCGGGTGAACCTTAATCCGGGGGTGAACCTTAATCCGGGGGTGAACCTTAATCCGGGGGTGAACCTTAACCCGGGGGTGAACCTTAATCCGGGGTGGAACCTTAATCCGGGGTGGAACCTTCATCCGGGGGCGAACCTTCATCCGGGGGCGAACCTTCATCCAGGGGCGAACCTTCATCCGGGGGCGAACCTTAATCCGGGGGCGAACCTTAATCCGGGGGCGAACCTTTAATTCGGGGGTGAACCTTAATCCGGGGGTGAACCTTAATCCGGGGGTGAACCTTAATCCGGGGATGAACCCTAATCCGCGGGTGAACCTTAATCCGGGGTTGAACCTTAATCCGGGGGTGAACCTTAATCCGGGGGCGAACCTTAATCCGGGGGCGAACCTTAATCCGGGGGCGAACCTTCATACGGGGGCGAACCTTCATCCGGGGGCGAACCTTAATCCGGGGGCGAACCTTCATTCGGGGGCGAACCTTGATTCGGGGGCGAACCTTGACCCGGGGGCGAACCTTGATCCGGGGGCGAACCTTGATCCGGGGGCGAACCTTAATCCGGGGGCGAACCTTGATCCGGGGGCGAACCTTGATCCGGGGGCGAACCTTGATCCGGGGGCGAACCTTGATCCGGGGGCGAACCTTGATCCGGGGGCGAACCTTGATCCGGGGGCGAACCTTGATCCGGGGGCGAACTTGATCCAGGGGCGAACCTTAATCCGGGGGCGAACCTTAATCCGGGGGCGAACCTTAATCCGGGGGCGAACCTTAATCCGGGGGCGAACCTTAATCCAGGGGCGAACCTTAATCCGGGGGCGAACCTTAATCCAGGGGCGAACCTTAATCCGGGGGCGAACCTTAATCCGGGGGCGAACCTTGATCCGGGGGTGAACCTTGATCCGGGGGCGAACCTTGATCCGGGGGCGAACCTTGATCCGGGGGCGAACCTTGATCCGGGGGCGAACCTTGATCCGGGGGCGAACCTTGATCCGGGGGCGAACCTTGATCCGGGGGCGAACCTTGATCCGGGGGCGAACTTGATCCGGGGGCGAACCTTAATCCGGGGGCGAACCTTAATCCGGGGGCGAACCTTAATCCGGGGGCGAATCTTAATCCGGGGGCGAACCTTAATCCGGGGGCGAACCTTAATCCGGGGGCGAACCTTAATCCAGGGGCGAACCTTAATCCGGGGGCGAACCTTAATCCGGGGGCGAACCTTAATCCGGGGGCGAACCTTAATCCGGGGCGAACCTTGATCCGGGGGCGAACCTTGATCCGGGGGCGAACCTTGATCCGGGGGCGAACCTTGATCCGGGGGCGAACCTTGATCCGGGGGCGAACCTTGATCCGGGGGCGAACCTTGATCCGGGGGCGAACCTCATCCGGGGGCGAACCTTCATCCGGGGGTGAACCTTAATCCGGGGGCGAACCTTAATCCGGGGGTGAACCTGAATCGGGGGGTGAACCTTAATCCGGGGGTGAACCTTAATCCGGGGGTGAACCTTAATCCGGGGGGTGAACCTTAATCCGGGGGTGAACCTTAAACCGGGGGTGAACCTTAATCCGGGGGTGAACCTTAATCCTGGGGTGAACCTTAATCCGGGGGTGAACCTTAATCCGGGGGTGAAACTTAATCCGGGGGTGAACCTTAATCCGGGGGTGAACCTTAATCCGGGGGTGAACCTTCATCCGGGGGTGAACCTTCATCCGGGGGTGAACCTTCATCTGGGGGTGAACCTTCATCCGGGGATGAACCTTCATCCGGGGGTGAACCTTCATCCGGGGGTGAACCTTAATCCGGGGGTGAACCTTAAGCCGGGGGTGAACCTTAATCCGGGGGTGAACCTTCATCCGGGGGTGAAACTTAATCCGGGGGTGAACCTTCATCCGGGGGTGAACCTTAATCCGGGGGTGAACCTTCATCCGGGGGTGAACCTTCATCCGGGAACGAACCTTCATCCGGGGGTGAACCTTCATCCGGGAACGAACCTTCATCCGGGGGTGAACCTTATTCCGGGGGTGAACCTTAATCCGGGGATGAACCTTAATCGTTGGGTGAACCTTATTCCGGGGTGAACCTTAATCCGGGGTGAACCTTATTCCCGGGGTGAACCTTAATCGGGGGGTGAACCTTAATCCGGGGGTGAACCTTAATCCGGGGGTGAACCTTAATCCGGCGTTGGGCTTGGGCGTTGGGCTTGGGTGTTGGGGCTTGGGCGTTGATCTTGGGCATTGGGCTTGGGCGTTGGGCTTGGGTGTTGAGCTTGGGCGTTGGGCTTGGGCGTTGGGCGTGGGCGTTGGGTCAATCAAGAGTGGTTTACAGGGCAATGGAATGCAATGCAGCACTCACCTGGGGAAGAGCTCGACGGAGCCATAAGGGTTGTATGCGGGCACAAAGCCATACTCCGCCAGCATGTCAATGGTGGGCTTGCTGTGACTGTATGCCATGCCACACATTACCTGGGGAAGAGGACGACGGTACCGAAGGGGTTGTATGCTGGCACGAAGCCATACTCCGCCAGCACGTCAATGGTGGGCTTGGGAAGTGTCAAATGCACTGCAACAACCTCACCTGGGGAAGAGGATGACGGTGTCATAAGGGTTGTACGATGGCACGAAGCCGTACTCCGCCACCATGTCGATGGTGGGCTTGATGTGACTAGATGCCATGTCACACATTACCTGGGAAAGAGCAGGACAGTATCGAAGGGGTTGTACGCAGGCACAAAGCCATACTCCGCCACCATGTCAATGGTGGGCTTGGCTCCGTATGATATGCTCAGCGGCTCTCCTTTCTCGATAGCCTGGTAGGTGGTGAAGAGGAAGTGGTCCCCTGACAGCTGGAGGGCATGGCAAGGGGGAGGAGTGCAGGGGGGATGATGGGCTGGGATCATGCCTAGTGCTCAGCGGCTCTCCTTTCTCGATGGCCTTGTAGGTCGTGAAGACGAAATGGTCCCCTGAGAGCTGGAGGAGAGAAGGGAGAGGAGGGGAAGAGGAAGAGGCTGGGAGAGGGTTGGGACGTGAGACGATATGCTCAGCAGCTCGCCTTTCCCGATGGCCTGGTAGGTCGTGAAGAGGAGGTGGTCCCCTGACAGCTGGAGGAGGGCGAGATGGGAGGGGAGAGAACGGAGAAGAGATATATGGCATGGCAGCTCCTCCCACCCCTCACCTCCCACCCCTTACCTCCCACCCCTCAAATTCCCATGTTGGGGTGGTAATCGTAGTTAGACAAATCAGCTCACACCCAGGCGTTTTGTGAGTGAGCGGGACATATGGCAACTTCTTTCACCCCTCACCTCCCACCCCTCACCTCCCATCTCTCACCCCCCATCCCTCACCTTCCATCCCATGTTGGGGTAGTAATCATGGTTGAACAGATCAGCGAATGGGAGCATCGCTGCTGACGTGGCATACCAATCCTCCCCTCTCTCGCCACCACTGCTGCCATTGCTGCTGCTGCCAGAACTCCCCTCCTCTGACTCCCCTCCTGCTGCTCCTGCTGCTCCTGCTGCTTCTGCTGCTACTTCTGCCCCATCTGCCCCCCCATCCCCGCCCACCTCCGCCCCCTCCGCCCCCTCCGCCTGCTGCTCCTCCCCACCCGCACGGGCGCGCAGGAAAGGCGAGAAGGTGAAGCAGCGCGATGTGACTATAGTGAGCGCCCAGTAGAACTCGGAGCGAGTGGCATTGGCGATGGCAGCGGGGTTGCTGCTGCAGCGGTCGTACAGATCGGCATATGCTGCCTTGAGCCGCGTGGCCTGTGGTGGGGTGCGGGGGAAAGATGGAGAGCAGAGAAAAAAAAGGAGGGAGTAGGCATGGACGATGGTGGTGGGGTTGCTGTTGCAGCGGCCGTACAGGTCGGCATATGCTGCCTTGAGTCGCGTGGCCTGTGGTGGGGGGGTTTCAAAGGGAAGACGGGAAGAGGGGTTGGGGTGGGAAAAAGGAGGGAGGGAAGAGGCATTGGCGACGGCAGTGGGGTTGCTGCTGTAGCAGCCATACAGGTCGGCATATGCTGCCTTGAGTCGCGTGGGCTGTGGTAAGGGTGGGTGGAGGAGGGGAGAGAAGGGGGGGAAGGGGGGAGACACGGGAGATGCGAAACGGAGAAGAGAGGTAGCGAGCAACGACACTCAGGCATGCACGGAGTGTGTGAAAAGAGTGTGTGAAGGGGAGTGTGAAAAGGGGAGTGTGAAAAGGGGATTACGAGTGAAGCAGAGTATGCAGAGCAAACCATGTCTTCTATTTCCCAGACTTCCCCTAACACTCACTCCATAACTCACCCACCTGGTCAACGATCGGCCAGTACTCAAACTGGTCGATCAGCTGTTGGGGGAAGAGAGCAGGCAGGGGCACGTAGGCGGGCAGCGAGCGCAGGAAGAGCGCCCAGGGGGAAGCAGCGCCCTTGGCCCTCTCGCGCAGCAGCCAGGCTGCCAGCACGGTGTATGTGTCCCACCCATACGGCACCGGTACTGTCATGTCATAGGGGAGGAGATGGCGCTCGGACTCGTTCTGCACACAGTAACGGGAGGAAGGAAGGAGGCGTGCTAGGGATGAATGGTTGGGTGTTCTGCCTCCCTCTCGCGCAGCAGCCAGGCGGCCAGCACGGTGTATTTGTCCCACCCATACGGCACCGGTAGCTGCATGTAAGGGGGTTGGGAGATGGATGAGAGTGGTGGAGAGGGGTGGAGGGGGGTGGAAGGACAGTTGGAGAGAGAAAGGTACGGAGGCAAGGCCTACTGGTTGGGTGGTTGGCCTCTCTCTCACACGCACCCACACAGTCACACCCACACAGTCACACCCATGCAGTCACACCCATGCAGTCACACCCACACGGTTCCAGCTATACAAAGTGAAACACACCCATGTACTCTCCCACACTCAGTCACGATCACACACAGCCACACCACACTGATGAGTCGGTTTTTGAGTCGACTCAAAAACCGACTCATCACACCCATGTACTCTCCCATACTCAGTCACAATCACACACAGCCACACCACTCTTACCAGGGCAATCCAGTTGGCTACTATGAAGAACCTTCGTGGAACTATCAGGATCACCTCGCCCGCCTCTATTCTGCGAGCTGCCTTAAAGCCAATGTCCGCCCTGCCAGTGCCGTTAGGGGACGATAAATGGGGAGGAGGGGATGCGAAGTGGAAAGAAAGCAGGGAACGGCTGGTTCAAGAATCGAAGGGCCTGGTTACGGAAACAGGTAAGAGGCTGAAGTCTAAGCAGTTATGTCTTAATCAGAGAAGCTTCACATGCTTTGAGTCCCTACGACACACCGTGTGGTAACCCTGCTTGAGTCCCTACCGCGTGTCGTTCGGTTTCCACACGCTTGCACCACCCTCGGGATTGTCTGATGCGCCTCGAGCTTCAGGCACGGCTTCATGCACGCTGCGAGTGGAGAAGTCCACCTGGCGACACGCGGACACACGGGAGGGTGACAGGTGTCAACTCGTGAAGTTCCACGAGGCAGGAGGCGAACTGGGAGGCGTTGACGAAAACGCGCAGCATTTCGCGACACAGGGCGTAACTGCACTATGAGGTGTGGATTCTTCGCACCAACCTCGATAGTACCGTCAACGACAATGCCATACTCAGATCCTTCCGAATCTCTCGTCCAATCCAGTTCCATCCACGTCAGCATGTCTTCCACCATGGCGCGCTCCGATCCTGCCACGTCATGCTCGACGCTCCCAGGCTTTCTAGATCCTCCGTCGTCCGCGGATTCTACTGGATAAGATTCGGCTTCAATTTCAGACGTCTTTAAATCCGAATAGGCCTCAGATCCTTCGGGCGACGCGTCGGCACTAGCAGCGCAAGTCTGTGAGCCAGCGGCATTGTTATCCGCGCAATGTCCGGCGTGATCGCCGGCGGATTGACCGGCGGTGGTGTCTAGCGCATAGGATGGGGTCGCGAGCAGCAGAACGAAGAGAAACGACAGAATGAGGAGGAGTGCTCGGGGGACGCGGTGACGAGTTCGAATCGCGGGAAAAGTTAGGTGTAGGTGACCAGCGTCTTTGCGAACCGCTCGTTCGCGACCGAAACGACTTTCACCGCGACGAGCATTATGAGGATCATTACGACAGCCGCAAGTTTGGTGGACACGCAATAGTACGGCCATGGCTGCTTGGCATTGCATGTGTCGTGTCGAACTGAATGCTCAGCAACCTCTCGTGTGGCGCAAAATAGCTTATGGAATAAGGATCTGCAGGGCATACACTCGCGGACAGATTCCCGCCAAATAAATGAAGAATGCAAGAGATATACTCGCTACTAGTACTTTCTTTTCCTCCTGAGTAACTCTCTAATGTTTGCTCTGGCTTAGAATAGGAACAGAAGAACTATTTAACTAGTTTGGAATCAGCAATTATTAGAGCACTTAGCTCTGGGAGATCCAGACCAAATAATAGTATTATTTGTCTACATCAAACTGTCAAACTAGCTTGGAGATCCAATTAAACATATTGCATGTAAATTTGCATGTTACAGCAATGAAGTCAGAACCAGCCTGCCCCGTGTGACGTGTCCATCCACCCCGCCCCCCCACAATCTCAGCAGCATACACTGAAGCAAGTTAGCAGGCAGGCAGGCAGCCCGCAGCTGGATGTCGAGAAAAACATTCTAGCCAATAAATACACGCAGCAATCATTTGTTTCGTAATGTGTGCCTGAGGAAGGCACACTACTTCCCTACTCCCTCTGGTATACCCGAGAAAGGCAAACTTTCCAAATCCACTTATCTGCCCAAAAAAGGCGCAGATTTTACCCTCCCTCTCCCATACCAATTCAGGCAAGCTTTCCAGTCCCACGCCTGTGCCCGAAAAAGGTCCTCTCCTCTCCCTTCCAAACACCACTCCTGCCAGAACCCACAGTCCACACCACAGCTAAGCCCCACAGCCTTTCCAAACAGGTCATCCTTATTACCAGCCCTCCTGTATCATGAGAGAAAAACGGTTTTTGGGTCAGCTGAGGTGGCCATTTCCCAAGCAGACCCAGTCAAGTGAATACCTCCTGACTTATAACAAGCAACCCACCCCACTACACAAGTGAATCCTGATCTCTGCTCTCTCCCCCTTCCCCAGCCCCATCCTCCCTATCCATCCCCCTCCCTGCCTCTCTCTCTCCCTGCCCAATCACACCCCCAACCTGGACGTTCCTTCCAGCTGCACTTCTCGCCTCTCCCTCTCCAGCCCTGACCGCTTCAGGCTGGCTCTCCTCGTTTTCCCAATGCCCGTTCCTCCCTTGAGTCACAATCGGTACAAGCACATCCGATAGAGCACCATCAGCACCTCTTGTCCCTGTTGTTTCTTTCCGGCCACCTGCCCGCTCCTTCTTCCCACACCCGCAACACCTTCCCTCCTCCCTTCCCCCTCTTCCCACCACCTCTCGTGTCTCTCTTCTTTCCCCTTTCCCGCCTTCCCCAACCTCGCCATGACTCCCCACTCGCCTCCCTACTTGCCCCTGCCTATGCCCTTGTCTCCGCCTCTCTCTCCCGCCCTCCCCTCTATTTTCTCCTCGTTCCGCTTCTCTCGAACCTCCGCTGCCCCGTACCCTCCCCTCTTCCCCTCGCCGCCCGCTACCCCTGTTTTCCGACGCGCCAATATTTCCGCCAGGGGAACGGGAGCTGGAGGACGGGGAACCAGAGGAAGACGAGGAGGAGGAAGCGGCTAACGACGATAACGAGGAGGCTGAAGACGAGGATGACGGGGTGCGGGAGGAGCGCAGGGGGGCGGAGGGGGAGGAATCGGAACGGGAATCTCCGCGCCCGCGCTCGTGCCTCACGGTTGACGCGGCGATTTCCGCGGCGAGAGAAGCGGCGGCACTCGCGGCGGCGGCTGCGGCAGACGCGGTTCGGATAGCGGACTCAGGAGCGAAGTAAAACGCGGCGCCGACGAACGCCAGCACGCACACAGACGCTAATACCGCGGCTACTGCTAACGCGAATAAAGTGACGCTGTCCGACGATCCGGAATCCGACGTGGCAGTTGCGTTCGCAGGGACGGGGTAAGAAGACGAATATGTGGTCGCCGTGACATTCGACGATGACGTGGCAGAAATATCCGTGGTGTTACCAGAATCTGCGCCGGGAATCGCGGACGCGGGGCTCCCTGACGAAGGGGCGGCAGATCCGGTGCTAGCGGGAGTGCAATTCGCGGAGGAGGATAAGAGCAGCGCGAGGGTAGCGCCATCGAACGGCTCTGCTGCCTCGCAACTAATCGACCTTACTCCCATCTTCTGCGGCGCGACGAACGGCGCACCCATCGCTCCTCCCTGCAACCTGATCGTGCGCATCCCCCCCCGTAACTTGGATCCCGCAGTGCCCGCCGCGAGTTGCGGCGCTGCGTGTACGGCAGCGCTGATGCTACCAGGGGAGTCGAGGGCCAACTTGCTGGATGGTTTCACAGCGGGTTCTCCGGCCGATCCGGAATTCGGGGAAGCAATTGAGGATGAGCCGTTGGATGAACAGTGTGGGGTGGATCGGACGGTGGAGATTAAATCATCCCACGTAGGCATGACGATGGCGAACGACGGTTCTAACGGCGAGCAGTTGACGGACGACCAGAAGACTAACGACCGGCAGATGTAAATGCGCTCGCCAATCGACTTTCCACCCTGAGTCGCTTCTATCTTGCTTGTAGCGGGAGAGCTTGTAACGGATGTGTTTGTAGCAAGAGAGCTCGTACCACCAGCAGTACTCTTATCCGTCGCATTGCTGGCCGCGAGAGCAGCGGCGAGAGCGGCAGACGCATCCCCCAGCCAATCAATCCTGAACGACCGACTCGCGCTAGGTCGTGGGATCCGGAGGCAACTCGCGGCAGGGCTCGGCGAAACCACGGCGACAGGCGCAGGGCAGGAAAGCACTTCATCCGGGCAGCTGGTAATTGCGGTGAGCATTGAAATTTGCCCGCTTTGGCCCGGTTTTGACGGCGGCGTCGGCTGCGCAGAATCCGACGATCCCGTGACTTTGTGAAGAGTTGCCTCTATCTCAACCGGCGATGCGGCACTTGCGGCGGAAGTTACTGCGGCAGTTACGGTGATCGACGCGAGTGGAAGGGCGAGGAGGAGACCGAGGAGGAGGAAGCTAGGTGAGGCGGAGAGCCGCCATCTGTGGCGACACGGTGTTACCCGGTGACGGCGTAGCGAAATTCGTTGATGGCTCTGCGACATCATGTATGGCGATATCGGTATAAACGCTATCGGTGTTCCGAAATTGCCGCTGATGCTACGACACGGGAGCAACAGCCTCGCTCCACAGGGTGCTCCTAGCTCCGTTCTCTATGTAACGCTTACGCTAAGCGTTAGTCGGTCTTTGAAAGGCTGAGCCTTTTTGTGGATTATGTGCGACGGAACGCGATAGTGTGCGACTCCGACCACTTCGCGACGGTTGGCAAGACTTTACTAAAATGGCTTCCCAATCTTCCCCGCTATCTCTGTCCTTGCAGGGTCTTGTGTCGTCCAACCCCCTCGCTACTACTACCGTACATGGCGCGAGCGAGTTCTCAAACGAAGCTAAGACGTGCTATGCTGCTCGTTTGCGGTAGCCATGGCGGATTAGAGGCGCAAGTGAAAAGGAGGTTGTGGCACTCCATAGTGAATGAAAGAGTCATAACGTGGGTTCCGGGCAGAAGGGAACTGTCAAGTTGATCTGTAGTCCGTGCCCTGGTGGTTGGGTTCGCAGCTTGTGGCTGAAAATTCGGCTCGGGCAGATGGAGTTGTTTAGGCCTACGATTTTCCCGACACACTCCGCGATTTATTATTGTAGCACTTGGTCGCACAGATCTCAACTTTGCCTCAGCGACACTGTAAGATACGTGCTAGCTCGCTGTGGGATGGCTATGGCGATCGCTATGGCGGCAAAGGGGGTTTCCGTGCAAGGGGCGATACACTAGGAGAATGGTTTAGGTGCAGGCGACTCTTTCTGTAGCAAGCGAGAGACTCGCCTGGAGGCATGCGATGGTAGATTGAAGGCAGAAGAAGGGGCAGCAAAAGAGGTGGCTTGCGACGGGTGACGAAGAGACGGGGTATCGTTGTGTGGTGGGATGGTGTGGCTGCGATGATTTGCGATGAGAACAGCGAGAAAACACACCAATTGCGATGGTTGCGAAGGCTAGGTGGAAGTAGGTCTGTCGAACCATCGTCGCGGTTCGTCATCGGGGCAGGACGACTCGGGTCTCGCGATGTGAGTGGTGGAGCCAGGGGCTGCGATCAGGACGACGCGCGAAGACACTGCAGCAAAGATAGGACGGCGTAAATGGTAAGATCAAAGAAAGAAAGAAAACACCTAGAAATAAAAGGTAAGATCAAAGTAAAACCAAGTTGAAAAGCAAAAACAAGTTGAAAGGAAATCTTGAAGTATGGAGCAATTAAGAATGAAGAAAGTTTTGAAGGAGAAGATAGATAGACTTGATAGGGATAAAAGGGACCAAACAAGATTGGCTTAAAAGAAAGTATTAAAGAAAAGGTAAAGGGCTTGAAAGATACTTGAAAGGAACTTGTAACGAACTTGAGAATAAGAACTTGATTATTATGGAAAGAGCTTGAATATAAAACAACTTGATAATAGCAAATGAACTTTGATGTAAAAGAAACTTGGTGAAAAATGAGAGGAAGGGATAACCACTTACTTGAAAAGAGTTCTTACTATTATGTTGTAGAAGTTGATCTTCACTTCAAGCTTAAATGTTGTCTTAGTTGTTAATGAAGAACCTCAAAGCTTGAATGTTGAGAAGTTGATCTTGAATGTTGACTTGTAGATAATGTTTGTTGAATGAAGAGAAACCTCCAAGCTTGGATGTTGAGGTTGGAGCTTGGACCTTGGGTAGAAGAATACACCAATCTTGCTTGAAGCTTTAAAGTACATTAATCAAAGGGAGGTACATGGTAGGATCTTGAGATCAACTATCCTTGATGATCTAGAAGTAAAACTATGTGGCACAAACTTTTCTAGAATTGGAGCATATGGCTATGAGCTTGGGTTGGGAGAGGTTGGTGGTGATGATGAAGCCTTAGGAGTTGGAGCATAAGGAGGAGGACTTGAGGTTGGCCTTGAGGGAGTTTGAAGAACTTGTTGAGAGTTTGGGTATGAAGTAGCATTGAAGAATATTTTTTTGAAGAAATGAAGAGGACCCTTTTGTATTTGGTGGAGCTTGATGTTGGATGAAGGATGAGGAAAGGATGAATGGTTGTGATTAGTTGAGTTGGATAAGATGGGGGTGATGAATGTGGCCTTGAAGTGAAGGCTTGGTGAAGAGAATGAATGTGGCCTTGAAGTTAAGGCTTGGTGAATGGGATGTATTTGGCTTTGATTTTAAGGCTTGGTGAGTGGAATGAATGTGGCTTGGATTGGAAGGCTTGGTATGGAATCTTTTGTTTGATTGGTGGATAATGGGATGAGAAAGATGATGAGGATAGGAGGAGAGTTGAGGTGGAGGATTGATAGGTTTTGATTGGTAGGTTTTTGCTGTCTGGAGATAGGAAGGGTGTGGTGGCGAGTGGGCATTTTTGCAAGATGCCTTTTGCATATTCGGATTTTGGCTGACGGGGAAATTGCGGCGAAAAAAATTCGCCACGTGAAATATTTCCCGCCACCCTGGTGCCACGCGAGCAGCAGCCACAGTTCACTGCAACAGGAAGTAGGTCTGTCGAACCATCGTCGCGGTTCGTCATCGGGGCAGGACGACTCGGGTCTCGCGATGTGAGTGGTGGAGCCAGGGGCTGCGATCAGGACGACGCGCGAAGACACTGCAGCAAAGATAGGACGGCGTTTTGTGCGCCACGAGATTGAGTTACGACTATGAACGAAGAGGTTACCAGCTGAAGTGCTACTTCAAAGCGATAAGTTTTTAAGAAAGTAAACGTGTGTACATATGAATAACTCGTATGCACAGACTGTGTTAGAAATGAATGCTGAGAATAGCTGGGCTGTTTCCAATGCAAATCTTCACTGTTATATTTGCGAATGATGTTGATACAACAAGTCATTTACCCTAACCTAAACAGCACAGGTGGTCATCACACAAGCACTCTGCCTAATCTCCCTGCAAATACTCTGGATGGATGCTTCGTCTGCACAACAACTACAGGCCAGAGTGTGACAACAGGCGCCTCTCACTCTCCCACGTCGCACCCCCATAGCAATGCTATCATGCTCCGTGTCAAATCCTCTACATCTGTTCAGCTACCATGCACTTATGTCAGCAGAGGAATGTGAGGAGGCAGCACTGCCACAGCCAGTGGAGCTTGTTTCAGGCCATACAGGGACTTGTGCAGCCTGCAGACTCTCTTAGTACCATCATGATACCCATCAGGTTGAGCCATGTAGATTTCTTCCTCTAAAATGCCGTAAAGAAAGGCGTTGGAGACGTCCAGCTGGATGATGTAGAGATCCATTCGTACTGCCATACCAAGAAGAGCGCGGACACTGGTGAACTTGGCGACCGAAGCAAATGTTTCATTGTAGTCTTCTCCAGGAACTTGAGAATATCCTTTGGCGACCAAACGAGCCTTGAACTTGTCCAAAGATCCATCACCCTTCACCTTCACCCGGTAGACCCATTTTACTCCCACGAGCTTCTTTCCCTTGGGTAGTGGCTCCAAAGTCCAAGTCCCCCGGTCGAGTAAACTTTCCAGTTCTGCCTTTTCCGCTGCTAACCACTGCTCCTTAAAGGCTCCTGCCATAGCTTCTTTGCGATTGAGAGGCTCGGGTGGAAGTTGGGAAATGGCGAAACAGGTGGCGTGAATCCTGCATTGGAAGCAGGTGCGACCACTACACAAATGACTTGGAGGTGAGGTAAAAGTGGACACCGGCACATGAGAGGTGAAGTTCGCAGATGACGAAGTAGAAGATGAAGATGGTGCTGCAAAGTGCGACGTGCTCATCGCTGGTGGGTAGTTGATATCGATCCGGTTGGGTGAGGGAGGTGGTGCTACCGGTTGAGAATGGTCTTCTGATGAAGTTCTATCAGGCGGAGTTGTCGAGTGCAGGTGTTGGAGATGGGAAGATGTGTGCTGTTGTGTTGGTGGTGGCTGCACGGTTGACGGTACGGGTTGAAGATGGTCTGGAAGGTGAAGAAGGGCTGCTGGACGATAACCACTGGGTCGATGAACGACGAGATGTGGAAGTGATGGGTGAAGAGAGTGAGAGCCAGGAGGATATTGTTGTTGCTGCTGGTCCTGCTGGTGAGTGGGGGAAGATTGAAGAGGAGGAGGTAAATCGGGTGGAGATGGTTGTT